TTTTTTGGTTTTGTTTTGGAAACTAGAGTTACTTTTAATAAAAGTGTTAACATGTAATGGGTTTATTATTAGTTTTGAATGAATTAAATTTCTTTAAGTATTTCCATTGTAATTTCTAATATAGTAAATATTGATAGATATAATTTGTATAAATGAAAGCTCTTTGAGGTCCTTGATAAATTCTAAGAGTGTTAAGAAACCAAAGAGTGTAAGAGACCAAAAAGTGTGAAAATTGCTGGGCTAGGTCATGCTGTGGTAACAGTTCACCTCAACAACTCCATAACTTAACGGATAGTTTATTTCTTGCTCATACTTTTGTTGCAGTGTGGGTCAGCGTGGGCGCTCTGTTCATCAGAGTTACTCAGGGACCCAGGCTGAGGGAGCCCTATCTCATCACCTGCTGCCACACTTAGCAGTCAGGAGAAGGGATGTGTGCAGTGGTCCTTGAAAACTTCTGCTGGAAGCAGCGTGTCAGAGCATCATAAACATGTGCAGCCTTATAAGCTCTTAAGTGAGAAACCTAAATCAAATAAAAACACAGGTTCTTGAGCACTCTGTACCCCTTCCCCTCACATTGCTGGGTCAACAAGTGTCAACAAAGTGGCTTTAGGATAAAGAGAAGTCAGGGATGTGAACTATAGAAGGATGTTGCTTGTGAGGTGCTGAGCCCCACACCACATCCTGGACCATATTTTTTCTCTCTTTTAAACATTTACTGTGTAATATTTAAGACATACAGTAAAGACATGTGGAATAATAGAGTGAACAATTGTGTGCCCACTGTCAGCTTAAGAAACAAAATGTTACCTGTACCATTAACGTCCCTTTATGCTTGTCCTCATCTGGACATGGTCTTAATGTCACAACCAGTTTTATTTCATTTTATTGTTATTTTTTTTGGCCACATAGCTTGAGGGGTCTTAGTTCCCTGACCAGGGATTGAACTCGGGCCACGGCAGTGAAAACGCCTAACCTCTGGACCTAAGAGTCCTAACCACTGAGCCGTCAGGGAATTCCCACACAACCAGTTTTAGATACTTTGTGGAGAGCAACTTTACTGGCCTGAAATACCCCAGTTTTCTTGTGCTTCCCATCTCTGTCCTTTCACTGTTCCTGAAGCCTCTGCCATGCATTCATTTATTCATCAAATATTTATCAAGTGCCCATTTTGTGCCAGGCACTGTTTAAAGTGCTAGGGATGCATCAGTGAGGGGTAACAACTTAGGCCTTGCCCTCAAGGAGCTCATATTCTGGTAGAGGAGACCGACAGTAAGTATGTGGACAAAGATATAATCAATGTTGGGTCACTATCTGACTCTAAGTACAATGAAGAAAAATAAAGCAGGATAAGTTGGGTATAGAGTGATAGCAGTAAAGCCAGTCTGGAAAGCCTTCCCTGTGGAGAAGACCTTTGAGCAAAGACCTGAGTGAATTAGCTGTGTGAGTAGTTGAGGCAAGGGAGTTATAGTGGGAGGAATAAAAGGCCTATGCAGAGGGCCTGAAGCTAGAATCCACTTGAGGTGCTTCAGGCGCCAGGGTGGTTGAGGTGGAGTAAGTGAGGGAGAAGTGGAGGAAACGAGGTCAGAGAGGCAGCCAGAGGCCAGGTGACTTAGGGCCTTCTAAACCGGGGTGAAGAATCTGGATGGGGAGCCATTGGAGACTTTTGAGCAGCATAATGACATGATCTCCTATATTTCTTGAAAGAATCACTGTGACCTGCTATGTTGAGAAAAAGAAAAGAATATAGGAAGCAGGGCCTGAAGCAGAGGGAACACATGGGAGTTACAGCCATAGTCCGAGGGAGAGAGAAAAGTCGCTTGAGCTTTGCGGTGCGTTGGTAAATGTTTACATGCTCTCTGAGGGGGAAGAAGGGCCCTGATTTGTAGCGTTGTCTGATTTCATGGCGTAAGTGCTCCCACCATGGTGGTTTCAAGTTACCAATGTGCTCTCATTGAATGTGGAGCTGGGAAAAGAGGTGCACAGTCAGCTCTCCTGAGCCAACGTGAGCCAGCTGCAGCACACCGCTACTTGAACTTGGGCACTTTTAGCCCGGGGTGGGTTTGCAAGGGGGTGTCCTGGTTTGTCTCCATTTCTTAGGGTAGATGGAAGCTGTACCACCTTTTTGGAAAGAATATGGAGAGGGTTATGAAAGGGAGAGAGTCAGTTTATAAAGTCCATCGTGCAAGAGCCTTGCAGGACAAGCCTAGACATTAGAGGCCTTGCAGGAGCTCTGGACTCTCAGATCCTTTGAAAGTGGAGCTCAGCACCAAACCTCCCTGCAAACAGGAAGCTGGTTTGAGTTAGAACATAAAATAAAACCCAGCTGATGCCCCTGAATGTTTTTCCCCTGCTCTTCCCCCTTCACAGAGTCAAAGGAAACTGCCTTTTTTTTCCTTTGGATAGCTGCTCAGAAATCCAGAGGAAGCCAAAAACCATAAATCCTTTGAAAATCATCCAAGTTTTGAGCCCAGGCAAACTCCTGTCTGTGGGGTTTCCTAGCCCGTATGTCTGCTCCACTGTGGAGAGTCCTAGGAGGAAAGTGACAGACACAAAGATGCCAGGGACCAGAGATGAATCCCATGCCCAGCGGGGAGAGATGGTCCTTAGCAGGGTTTCTCAAACTGCAGCTTCCAGTCCACTTGTAGGTCATGAAATCAATAAAGTGGGCCATGACCAGAATTATTTTTTTAATGAAATAAAATATAATAGAAATTGGAGTTTATCACGTGCAATGAGAGTAAATATTTTTCTGTGAAACTTTTATTTCAGTTTTATGAGCATGTATGTTTATACTGGATCAAGATATAAAATGTGTCTCTTACGATGGGTTGTGGTCAGAAACGTTTGATAAACACTGGTCTTTCGGGTCTGAGTAACTCACATCTCCTCCCTGCTTTAGATTGCTGTTGAAAACCCTGAGCTAGTTCCAGAATTAATTCTCTGTGGAACTGGATCATCTACCCACAAAACACCTACCCAAATTCCTGTCTCAGAGAAGGCAAGCTGAGAACCCACAGACTGGTCTGATTCTTTGGGACCGAAGCTGAAGCATAAGGGAGGGATTGATGCAAATATGAATCCAAAGGATTTGCCTGAAATCAGATTAGCTTGAAGAGAATAGGAGTTGAGTTGGCCTTTTAGCTCAGTGCTTGCTTTGGTGACCTTTGTCATCTATGTGGGTAATGCTGGCCTCAGACTCCTCTTTCTCTCTTCTCTGCAGTAGGCAGTTGGTGCATCAGGAATGTTCCTGAGTACCCCTCCCTCGGGGATAGCCAGAGGCACAGTGCCAGGATAGGGTGTGGTACCCTGAACTGAGTATCTCCCGGACTTCCCCAGGGTTACTTTGTGCTCTCAAGTTAGTGTGCAGGGCTCAGCCCTTTCAGAAAGGTGACTGGGTGCCGGAGAAGGGGGAGGGGGTCATTAAGCTGAGAAAAAGTATGGAAAGAGGCATAAATTAGGGCAGAATATCAAGAATGTATAGAGTAGGCTAAAGTTAGTTTATCCCCCACTAGGTTTAGTGCCTCAGAAAGGCCCAATGGTAGCTGGCAAGTTTGGTGCTTGCCAGGTGGTTGTGGGTAGGTGTGGTGCCCTGGAACTAAACTGCCTCTGTCAGTGAGTAGACACATGTTGGAATTCCTGGTCCACATCCCCAAGAAGCACAGAAGACTCTTGGGGACCTTCCAGGGTAATAGCTTTAACTACAACATCCCAGGGGACTTATTTTGGCCTCTGGCCACCTCAGGGCATTTCTTTCCAACCTAATTCAAACTAAAATGGTCCTTGGAGATTGGAATTTAAACAGGCCCTCTAGAAGCACTTGGAATTCTCCAGTTGGGAGAGTAAGAGAGAAGGAGAGATCCTAAAACTACCGTAATTGACTATGGGCTTCCCCTCTCTAGATACCGGCCTGGACTGGGAGTAGACCACAGTGCCACTGATACGAACACCCCTGAAGTGTTTCTGGTTCACATCGCCCTCGTAAGGCCCCCAAGACTCTCTTAGCAGAGTACACTCTAGCCTGTTTACATGGCCATCCTGCATTCAGAAGCCCCTCTGTCTGAGCCAACGAAGACCGAGGACATCCCTGAGGAGGGCCAGTGCAGGGAGTCCAGACAGTGCTAGAGGAGACTGGACTAGGAGTGACATGCAAGACATTTTATATCAGTGAGTGAGGGAGTGATGAGGTTACAGGGCAGTCTGAATCTTACATGGGATCATCTAGCAGAAAGATCAGGAAACTAATTTGAGGTTAGTCCAGTGTGTCCCAGGGCCTGCAGACAGTGTGGGGTAACAACAGTGATGAAGAGAGTGATGGTGAATGTCTCCCACGGCCATGTCCTCTCAGAATCTCTCAGCACTTTACGTATGTTTCCCTTTCATCTCTGTGGGAGTTGTGGCTTAATAATAATAATTAGAGTACTCTGAGCATCTGTGCTTTGCAAAACACAGCATTAAGCCATGTCTCTGCCTCCTAGGCTTGGAGTCTGTTTGAACTGGCAGACATCTGATGGAAGGGAAGAGTGTGATTGAATGCATAGATTAGGGATATTATGAGTCACCTAATTGTTACCTAACATTCTTCTGGCTCTTGGAGATCAGAGTGGCCTTTGTTTCATGCCTGCCAAGGTACGAAGATCAGTGACCTCTCCTGAGTCTCATAGACCCAATAGGCCAGTCTGGGGACCCAAGACTTTATCTTGTAAATGGAGCCTTCCTGGATTGGGAGAGTTCTTGTTCCTCTGTGGCCATGAGCTGAGTTTTAACCACTTCATTTTCTTTTCCATGGGCCTAGCAGTTTGATCACTGTTAAAAGCTGGCGATGTATACTGCCTTTTTCCCATGTGATCAGTGGGCCTGTGGCCAGATCAGGACCTGGATAAGTCAGAAGCCAGGGCCATCAGGAAACAGTCAGCGTGGAAGAAGGTCCCGGCTACCTTCAACTCCTCCTTCCCAGCCCCACTCCATCCATAACATAACACTTCTCTGTCTTGCTCCAACAGGTGACCTTGGAGAAGGTGCTTGGAATAACAGTGTCTGGAGGCAGAGGACTTGCCTGTGATCCCCGATCGGGTTTAGTTGCCTACCCAGCTGGGTAAGTGTCTTGGAAGTGGTCTTATTGCATGGAAGTTTATAGCTATGCTAAACCAGTTGGAGTGGGCAGGGGTTTTCTGGTATCTTCTGGGAGATACATCCAGGTTAATGTTTTGGTGCCATTTTTATAAATGACGTACGGGGCCACATAAAGGCTCTTTGTTGACTGTTGTCTTTGTTGCCATCCTGTCCTGCTTTTTGACCACCCACACCCACCCATGCATACAGATTCACACTTCGTATTCACACAGCTCCCAACGCCATCTTCAATATCTTTAATATCTACCTTTTAGTCATTTTTATTTTATTTTTTAAAATTAAAAAAAATATTTTATACTAGAATATAGTCGATTTACAATGTTGTGTTAGTTTCAGGTGTATAGCAAAGTGGTTTAGTTATACATATATCTATTCTTTTTCAGTTTCTTTCCCCATATAAGTTATTACAGTATATTGAGTAGAGTTCCCTGTGCTATACAGTAGGTCCTTGTTGATTATCTATTTTATATGTAGTAGTGGGCGTATGTTAATCCTAACCTCCTAATCTATCCCTCCCCCACTTTTCCCCTTTGGTAACCGTAAATTGGTTTTCTAAGTCTGTGAGTCTGTTTCTCCTTTATAAACAAGTTCATTTGTATCGTTTTTTAGATTCCATGTATAAGTCATGTCATATGATATTTGTCTTTCTCTGTCTGACTTACTTCACTTAGTATAATAATCTCTAGGTCCATCCATGTTGCTGCAAATGGCATTATTTCATTCTTTTTAATGGCTATGTAATATTCCATTGTGTATATGCACACAGCTCCCAACACCATCTTCAGTATCTTTAATATCTACCTTTTAGTTGTTTTTAAAAACAGCTTTATTGAGATGTAAGTCACATACCACGCAATTCACCCATTTAATATGTACAGTTCAGGGACTTCCCTGGCGGTCCAGTGGTTAAGACTTTGCCTACCAATGCAGGGGGTACGGGTTTGATCCCTGGTCGGGGAGCTAAGATCCCACGTGCCTCATGGCCCAAAATCCAAAACATAAAAAAAAAAAAAGCAGCAATATTGTAATATGTGCAATTCAGTGGTTTTTAGTGTATCCACAGAGTTGTGCCGCCATCACTACAATCAATTTTAGAACATTTTCATCACCCCCAAAGGAAACCCCACACCCATTAACAGTCACTATTTCCCCCCAAGGCTCCCAGCTTTTAGGCAGCCACTAATGTATTTTCTGTCTCTATATATTTGCCTGTTCTGAACATTTTATATAAATGGAATCATATATTTTGTGAGTGGCTTTTTTCGCTTAGCATAGTGTTTTCAAGGTTCATACATGTTGTAGTGGGTATCAGTACTTCATTCCTTTTTATGGCCGAGTAACATTCCATTGTATGGATATACCACATTTTTCTCTGTTAATCAGTTGATGGGCATTCAGGTTGTTTCCACTTTTTGGCTGTTATGGATAATGCTTCTCAGAACATTTGACTACTCTTGTCATGTTGAGAGATGTCAGTGCCATGGAAGAGAGGAAGTGTTCCAGCGCTGGTGTTCTTCTTTCCCTTGCAGCCTTTTCACTCCTCTGCTCCAACTGATGAGAAACCCCCAACCATAGTTGCTTGAAGCTTCTGCAGAAGTGTTTCTTTTGCAGGCTTGGGGCTTTTCCTGCTTCTGGTTCTCTTTCTCTGTCTGTTCTCTATGGTTCCCTGTTCCTTGCTGCTGGGCATAGGAAAGTGAAAATGGGAAGGCCACTGCTCTGCCTCTTTCCCCACCATCAACTTGGTAATGCCGAGTTCCCTAGTGTGATTTTCCATAGCAACTCCTGTAGTTTTTGTATCAGATATATGATTTTTTTTTTAGTTTTATCATCCCTACCTTTATCAAGAACCTTTTCTGTGTCAGGCACTTTGTTAAGCATTTTACAGGAATTATTTTATTTAATACTCAGAGCAACCCTGTGAGGTTGGAACTGTTTTCATCCCATATTTTAGAGGAGGGAAACTAAGATTCAAAGAGGGTAAGCAGTTTGCTCTAGGTCACACAGCTAGCACGTGTCTGTATTGGGACTCCAACCCAAGAAGTCTGACTGCAGAGCTCTTACTCTAAAGTGGCACGAGGTGGAGGGAGACCATACTTGCTGCTTATTTTTAAAAGTTGCTTTTCCCCTAAGCTGTTTACCTGCTCTTCAAATGAGAAGAGCCAATTTACGGGCAGCTCAGTCTATGCCAGGGACCCTTCTGCCCCTAGGTTCTGGGGTCTGTCTCTTCTGAGTGGCCCTTTGGCATTTGACGTCTGTGGTAGGGGACTGTGGGAGCTGCACTGACTTTACCCTGAAGAGGCTGAGCTGGCCTCCTTCTCCCCCTCCAGAAGCAAGTTGATGAATGATCTCTGTTGCTGGATACCCTGTGCAGTCTGCCTCCGGGGAATTCCACTCATGCCTGCCTCGGCCCCGGGAAAGCCAGGTTCCTTCTTGTTGGAGGTGGGACTGGGGCTGGATGTGGGACGGGCCGGAAAGGCCTGGGCTGCTGCTCTGTGCGTGCTGAGTCCTGTGTCCCTGCTCTGGGGAGTGTGGAGCCCTGGTCCCTCTCTTCCCCATCCGCCCCAGACCCCAGGCCTGGCGCCTTTAAGGGTGTGTGCTTCTGTTTATGGGCAGGTCCCAGCCTGGTGATTGTGCCTTGGGGGTCATTATCCTTCCAGGTGGTGTACGGAAGCTTCCCTGCTGTCACCTCTAGTAGGTTTCCTGAGTGTGTTTGGCTTGGGCCAGCCCTGGGCAGTGCCCTGATCCACTTCCTGACCTTTTGATTTCCTAGAACTTGGAGTTCTTTCTTTTGCAAATGGCCCTTTTCTGGGTGTTTTAGTTTTGCTCTGTGCTGGAGCTCCCTGATGTGCTTCTGCGGTATCTGGGGGCCACCAAAATCTGTGTGAGCAAAGCAGGCTCTTTCCCTCCCCTCTGTCTTCCTTCTCTTCCTATCTGGTGATCCCAACCCCACCGCCCATCCCCCACTCTCTAGTTCCTACTTCGCTTGTTGCTCTAGGAGCAGTTCAGGTATCCTAGAAACAAGAAGAGAAACAAAGCTCAGAAAATTCTCCCAGAGGCGTAGAGGCAAATATCAAACCAAAACAAAGTTTTCTGAAAGGAAATGAAACAGCTCTGGGAGGGTGGGGTGGAGAAGGGTGTGTGTCAGGCAGAGGTGGGTTGAAGTCTCTGGGTAGAGACCCCTCGGTTTTAGCACCTCCTGCATTTCTTCTCCAGAGCTCTCCCTTTGCTGTTGTTTTCCCACAGGAAGCCCACCCTCACCTGTCACATTTTAAGCCCCCTGCCCTAGGAGGCCAAGCTGGTCCCCAGATAGCTTTGAGGCACTCAGTTTAGTTGAACACCCATAATTGACTTGCGCCCCTTCCCTGGCTGGCTCGGTAGAGGGTTCAGGGCCTTTAGAGCCCAGCACAGCCCCTGTTGCCACTGTGGAGTCAGTGAGTTTGGAGAATGGGTTTCTCTTGACCCCTAATGCCAGGGTGCAGGGCCTGGCCTGAGTGCAGAGCCTCTGTGCAGAGCAGCTACTGGCGTGAGAGGTGCCCTATGCAGCAGCCAAGAGGAGACCTCTTGGTGGTTTAAGCAGGGAGGAGGAGGGGAAACCCAGCTCTCCTGAGAAGGCCCTCCATTTACTCAGTGCATATTGGAATTTATGCTGAGATCCAGCTCCAAAGCTTTGGACTGCACGTGAAGGCACAGTCTCCTCCTGGACTGTGTTCTAGTGACATCTGAGCTGAAGGAGCATACAGCTCCCTTCTTCCTCTCTGTGGTAAACACTGTGTGGGGGGTTGCCAGGGAGTGTGTGGAGTGGTGGAGAGACCAGGTGGACCTAAGGGAAGAGGGTGCTTGGACTTGGTGCCCTGATGGCTGTGACACATATGCAAGAGTACTCACAGGCACCAGTCCCCTCAGTGCCTTTTCTCCTGGTTTCCCTACAGATCTCACACCTAATGGACCCTGTAGTTCTTCCCAAAACAGCTTGTTCATATAGTCATTCATTTGTTTGGCAGATAAGTGTTGAAAATATACTTTGGACCAGGCACTGTTCCAGCTGCAGAATATATATATACAGCCAGTGAATAAGACAGTGTCATTGCCTCTGTGGGATTTAAGGAGGGGCAAGGCAGACAGTAAGCATGTGAACAAATAAATTGAGCAAGGTAATATCAGAGAGTGGTAAGTGTTCTGAAGAAATAAACCGGGGTGATGGAAAAGGAGAGTAAGTGAATACCTGGGAGTGGGGTGGGGTGGGGCTACTTTGAGAGGGGCTGGTCAGGGCTCAGTGGGAGGTAACACTTGAGCTGGTGTCTGAGTGACAAAGAGGAATCTATGTGTGAAGATCTGCACTTCCAGGTGGAGGAGACCTCAACTTGCCCCAAGAAAGGAGGAATCAATTCACTTGTTTGAGTAGCTAAACAGCAGCCATGGTGGCTAGACCATAGTGAGTGAGAGGAAGGGGGCTCAGACACTGCTTTTGGACCTGGCTTGTGAGTCTTGCAGCTCACAGACATCCACCTCTTGTCCCAGAAGGGAATATGTTTAGAGTCCTCTGGACAGAGAGAGGTGTATTGGTAGCTCTACACCAGTGACCACATTATTCACTGGGTTATTACTGCCAAGTCTTTTCTCATGCCTTTGACGGTGGGGAGGGGTGTGTGTGTCTCATACAGCATCCCAGAAACAGAGATGCCAGTGGGTCTCATGGGCTGGCCTAAGAGGGTTACTTATTTGGAAGGCATTGGGTTCCATGTGGGTCCTGAAGAGGACCACAACCAAGGATGCCCTAGGAAACGTCCTAGACTCATTATCTCTTAGGATAATTAAAGCTATAAGATTTCCCCTTTGGGAGTGAATCGGGAGGGACAGTTTGTAATTCCACACCTGGAGGAGGACCCCAATGAGTCACTAGTATCCTGCAAGTCCTATATGGATACCGTAGTTGGGGTTCCTGTTGCAACTGCTGAACCCCTG